GCAAGTAGTTCATCATTACGGTGTTAATGAGGTACTCCTCGACTTTAAAGCCGATGTTTCCTCAGCAAAATGATCAAGGAAAATCAATATTTGTCACAGATGTCCAATTGTCAATATTAAATAATGTGTTGACAACTGAACTACATAAATTAATTGCATTAAATTATTTGAGATAAAATAATAACTAAAATCTTATTACTTATTTTTAATTCCTGAAAAATGGTTTATTTACAGTCGTAAATTTCTTTATTATATATTTGATAGTTATTGGTGTTTCTCGATATTTCTGTTAAAAAAGTAATAAATTTCAAAATTATCTAGGTGTATGTTGCTGTATATACGATTTGAGCGTGTGATAGAACATTTTTTTCTTTAAATTCTTAATCCCACGAGCATACTGCAGAATCGCAAGCGCAAGATACATGTCTCCTCTCGAAAAAAAGATAATTACTTTGATGATTACTACACTTGGGAATTTACACTACATAATTGCTCGCGCTAATAAACGTTTCTCAGGGATTTGATAAAAAACAGACGCAAGACTCCTTGCTCGAGGAGATAAAAAAAGCTATTATCGCGTAACATTTGAAAGTGTCACAGATAATTTCTGTCATTTAAATCCCGAAAAACATGCTCTTTATTAAATTTATGAATCGCACTCGACTTTAATCAATTTAACAAGATAAAAATTGTCAGAGTGAAGAATTAAGTAATATTATAGCAAACTTTAAAAATGTGTTTATTCAATCATCGCATATAAAAAAAACGGTTACAACAGCAACAATTTATTTATGGATTTATGCCGTGTCCAATTTGCCGATATGTTCGATTTCTACGTGAAATTTATTGTTATGTACGTCCAATTTACGAAATATTTAGATTAATCGGAATGTGAAAAATGACGGAATATGTATTTATTTCAGAAATATCTAGATCATATACCATATTCAAAAGTAAATTGTATACAATTCAAAATATTTTACATTCCTGAGTCTGCTTTTTTTACCGTGCACAATCTCTCCGTATAAAAAAATATTTGAGTTAAATGCACATTTTTAATCTTGTATAAAATACATACGAAAAACAAATCTCGTAAAGCATTTCTTTTTTTATACTTTCTACTTCTCGATCGATTCGCCAAAATTTTTTTAACGCCCGTCTGAAGATCAATTTCCAAAATATAGGTAGTAGAAACCTTATATGGTCGGACTGTACATACTAGTACCAAATTTTATATATACACATATTTGCATGTACATCTTTTTTCCAACACAGCAAACTGCGTGTCGATTTTAAAATACAAGTCTTAAGCTGAAGTAGCATACATAATTAAATTGATAATCAATTTAATAATATTCTTAAATAAGCATCTTTTAGAAACAAACTCTACAGAATTTATTGCAAAAGTATCACCTCAGCCTAGATGATTTTATGTTTCACGACCGAAAGTTATCGGCGCGCAATTTGCTACGTTGGAAAAAAAATACACAAAAATATTATTTGGCATTAATATTCAGCTCGACCGTATTTCTAATACTTACACTATTTATATATAAACGATTAAGTTTACTTATTATGATCAATTTCTATACGTAATTTTGTTATTTGGTAAATATATTCGTAGCACTTACACATTTGCAGACCCGCAAAGCTTTCAATGGTATTGTTATTTGCTTCTATTCAACATATGATTATTCTCCAAGTACCTAATTAATAATGTTTAGTTTTGATAATAAATTGATATTTATTTGTGCAATTTGGATATATGTATAAAATCAGCAACCCATTTATTAAAACTCAATAAGATCAACCTTTGTGAAAATCGCGTACATAATATTTCATACATATTTATAAACTGAATGATATTTATATTGACATGTGGCAAAATATATACCAATATTTGTTTTCTCATATGCGTGTCACTTCAAACATACGCTTTGCTGGAAAGTTTTTTAGCATTTTGTTTTTAAATCTTTTTATCCTGAATGAAAAATTTTTTAATGAAAGATAGCTACAGCATGCTTTTCTCTTAGGTTTTCAATATAACTTACAGAATAGAATAAAACGTATATAATAATCTATATTCACTAAAAAGTTCCTAATTATCAATAAATCGCCTCACATCCTTAATTTGCATATAT